CCCCAAAACCCCAAAACCCCAAAACCCCAAAAGTCGCAATATGTCAGTTGATTGCTGGAATGAGCTATACATAAATATAAAATTTAAAAGTTAGCGATAAGTATGAAGAGCATCACTAAATAATCAACTAACAATTTAAATACATCAATCTCAATGAATCAAAGTTTCACGCAAGGCTACTAAAAATCCTCTGCAAGAGAACGATCACCTGTGCCAACTATTGAACAAGCTCTAAACGATAAATTAAAGGCGATTAACGATTTACAGTAAGCATAAAAAGAGGTAAGATAATCAAAACTAAGATAGATCTACTAATAATTATTTAAGCGAACTTTGAATTTAAATTGATGTGACATTAATATCTTATTAGATCAGGTCAAAAGAGCAAGAATTTGCTACTAAAGTAGCTCTATATGAGTAGAAAATTCATCTTTTGGAGATGCAATTGAGAGAGGCTGATGAAAGAGAGTAAAATCAGAAAAAGCTCTATGATAAAATGTTCCAAGCTATAGAGGATTCAAATGGAACTCCGAATTCTCATAGACGTGGCGGCAATTCTTCAAGAGATGGTTTTAATTCATCTATTGGAGGCAGAGAGGTAGATTATCTACATAAATAAGTGCAAGAGCAACTCTAAGAAAAAATTGGTGATCTAGAGTATTAGCTCGGACTTAAAATATAGGAGGTCAGTTAATTAATGCAAAATGAGAGTGAACTGAAAATAAAGAATCAAAAAGATATAGATGTGCATGTCGAATACAAAAAAGAAAAAGAGCAATATATTGGAAAATTAGAGAGGCAATTAAGCGATAGAGAATATGATATCAATTAGTTTAATATGCGCACGAAGAATTTTGAAGATGAAATAAAACACTTAAACTAAAAAATCGATGACTAAGAGTTCTCATACTCTCGGGAGTATGATAAGAAATTTGAGGAGTTGAAGAAAATGTATACTGATTAGATTGAAAAGCAAAAAAAAATTTATATGAGTCAATCTAACGATTAAGATGTAATTGAATAGTTAAGAGATGAGTTGAGGAAACTTGCTCATGAAAAAATTCTTTAGGAGGAATCTATTTAGAGATTAGAAACATAAATATCAAGAGTTAAAGAAAAGAATAAGGACTTGAAATAAAAGAGAATTGATTTGGAGTAATCTGAGAAAAGAATGGCTTAATTTTTAGCTGAAAGAGACAGAGAGCTGGAGAGAGAAAAAGGTTAGGCAAAACTGAGAATTCAAAAATTAGAAAACAAACTCCAAAAGAAGAAGGATAAGATAAGAGGCATGATATTCGATTTCCAAGAAAAAGACTAAGAAATTGAAAGAATGAAGGATGAGTTACAAAATTTGAGGGAGAAAATAAGGTCACTGAACAAGAAAATAAAAGATGAAAGGAAAACTAAGTTGTAGCTTGAAATACAATCACAAATTCTTTAATAACAGAAGAGCAGAACTGCCTTGAATTAAGAATGCGACTTTGAAGATTGCATTGATGAGGAGTGTGTTGATCCTTGCAAAAATGTATAAAATGACTAAAATAGAACTTTCAATGGATGTATAAGTGGGAGAAGAAAAAGCATTGAAAAAAGTAGACTTTCATTGAAATTATCTGGAAGTCCACTTACTAGTGATCTTAGAAGATCCTTAAAAGATGTTGCCTATCTCACTCCAAATAAGAGTAGTAGAAGCTTTATCAATCAAAACTAACAATCAATTCAAATTGACACTAAACTATTTAGAATGATTGAAAATTGTGTAAAAATGGAATGCTCAGGCTGTAGAAAGCTAATCCCAACGCATCAGTTTTATGAGCATATCAGTAAAAATAATGCACAATGTCATAATCAAGGAAACATGAGTACTAATAGAAGTTAAATTCTCACAGGATTGTTTAATACAAAAAATTTGGATGGATAGGGTAATATGAGATATAATAATAGTCTGTGCGGTATTAACACAACTTCAAATAGCATGATTCTAGGACCTTAGAATTTGAGTCAAAGTTACCTGATACCTAATCACATTAATCAAACCTAGTTCCTAGGTAATTTTAGCGATGAGGAAAATATGAAGTAATCTTACCCTTCTTTTCTGAATGAAAAAATGATGAACTAACCTCTTGGTGATATTTCTAATGAAATTAACACTGAAAGAACAGCAAATAAGGTTGTATTCTTAGAAGAAAAGCTAAGAAAAGCAGATGAGCTGTTAAGAGAATCTGCAATTGAAATAAAAAGTTTAAGAGAAGATAAAGATAAGATTAGATTAGATCTAGATAGAACAAAATTACTTCTAGAATAAACTTAAACATAATTAGCGTTAGTAGAAGAAAAGAAAGCTGAAAATGAACTTGAAATGAAAAAAGAAATTAAGTATTTACTAGAATCATGGTTGCAACAGAAAAATCAGAACTTGACTTAGAATCTAAATTAAACTACTAATGGATAGGGAAAACAAAATTAATTTACTTAGAACTAATCAAATATTCTCAAGAAATACATGCTAAATCAAGGAAGTCATAATCATAGCAATTTTAGTGGCCCAGAGGGATTCGATAGTATGTACGAAAATGATGAGGGAGAAGTGATGATATTCCCAGATATGGAAAACACTGATGATCCCAACTGTTCAAATGTAGTGCATAGAGGTAAAAGAAAGCATACTACAAATAATAACTCAGTTATAACCAATTTCAATCCACTTATTGCCTTAGACACTTGTGATAATTAACTTTATGATGGAAGTTAATTCAACTCACATCAAATAAATTCAAGTTCCCAACTTCCATCATAGATTGGAACTTAGAGATAAAAATAACTCAATATGAAATAATCTTAAGAATAGCTTATAATTCTTTAGTAGTTGCAGCCCAATCAATAAACTTAGCTTACCTCTTCATAGAATAGCCATCTTACGTCTGTTTCTAGTGGAAGTTTAGAGGAAAATGTAATATATCATCAAGCAAGAGCAAATAATCAGCAGAATTTCGATTCAAGTTAGAACATTCACTCAAGAATGAATGGAGTGTAATAATATGGTTAGGGTCATTTCTATCAAACTTATTTGAGTGGATAACCATAAAATTTAAACTATGTTGAGTAGTCTTAAAAAGCACTAACTAGTAGACCATTCGAAACAGCTCTAATAGCTATGAGTGAGTCAACTACACCAACCTCAATATAAAATAAACTCAAATCGCATCAGTTGCAATAATAGCAATACCTGTCAACTCAAAATAGCTTACAAATGAATCAGTATAATTTACCCCAAAATACCTAAAACTAGATATCTTCTCATTTGATTCATAAAAGTCAATCTCATACCAGCAGCTAGCTAAATATAAATTAAGGAAACAAGATTTAATACTATCATCAATTGTAGTAATAGTAATTACAACAACAATAATAATAGGTACAATCATAATTGTAAAACAGACAAAAGTTTTAAAGATAATGATCTATCTAAAATGAATGATTTCTGATAAATTTCTAAGAAATTGTCCAAGTTTGCGTATTAATCACATTCGTTTAATTTAAAATTCATTTCATTTCTAGGATTATAGAACGCTGGGGTTTTGGGGTTTTGGGGTTTTGGGGTTTTGGGG